GTTTTGAATTTAAATGACCAGTACTAGAATCATTTCAACCCATAAAATGAACATCATATGCAAAAATGGGGCTTGTTTGAATAGTAGTAGTAGTAGTAGTAGTAGCTATCGCAAGTATGTCAGACACTTCTTCACTTAATGCAATCTTCATAGTAACTGTATCGTATAGTCCTGGTGGCTACGTTTTTCTGGCCAAAATAATCGTAAAATACCAGATATACAGTGCTGTATACCTTTCAATACTCTTTGACCCCCTATACCCCCCCCCCCCCCATATATTTTGATTCGTGTGCTTATCATTCTTGTTAAGCATCTGTTGGGGACAAAGTTATAGCCATTTGAGTGAGTTGACTGTCACTTTATGCCCTACGTGGTTTTTTGTACTGTGCATTGATTTTGGGCCATCTAATTACCGTGTAGTAATGACTCATGCTGGGATTCAAAATTTGGATTTGTACTACCAGTACAGCAATTACATGTGTTGAAGCAAAAATAAGACAGTGAGGAGCATGTGTGCGCAAAACTATTTGGTCACACGAATGTGGGATTCAAAAATTCATCATGTGCTGGCTGTAAACTGCAGTACAAGCCAATTTTTTATCCCACAAGTCATTACATGGTAATTAGATGGCCCAAGAGGTATGATTATATCGTACATTTGCTGGCCAACTATATACGATAGCACTACTAGTACCATTATAATACTAGATCTGGTGGTGCTAGTACTAGTAAGTGCAAAAAGAAACAATCCAATTGCCCAAATATTGAGCTTAGTTCAACTGCAAAGGTGCACTTCAGACACATATTCTAGTACTAGCAGCCACTAGTACTATTTGTAGAACTAGTAGTACTACTAGTAGAAGGAAGGACAACCCCAACCCTACCAGCACCACTCAAACGACAAATTGCAGTAACAACACACAGTAGTAGATACCAGGTTATCATTTAAATGGGTGGTAAAAAACTCATATTTCCGTCAATCAAACTTACAAGAAAAGTGAATAGTACTACTAGTGAAAATAGGAGGTACCCATTAAATTTATGCAATGATACTGTGCTGGAATGTGTAAAATCAATATGGAGAGTGAAAACACATKATTGTGGCACTCATTGCACAGCAAACAAAAATTGCATCAATTTTAGTATGACCCACCTCTTTTGAACTAGAATAATCTGTGGAAACATTGTGCTTCTTCAATTGCTACTAGCAGAACACCAATGACATCAAAATCACATTGACATCCCAAAAACAGAAAATGACTATGTTTGTAGAACTCACAATTATAACTTGCACTTGACACACTCACCAGAAGTCTAAAGCAGTGCCATAACTACTAGTACTGTTACTACTACTATTACCACATTAATGCAAGCTAAGTTCTTCTTCTTGGAATCTGATTATTAATATCCAAAGGGTCCTCAACAAGAGGAACAGCATACCACTACTGTACTACTTCAAAAAAGAGATGGTAGCATGGGAAAGTGAAAACAATATAATATTTGACTTCTCCTGTTTCCTCCTTGTACTCCTCAAATATTTTTTCTCACTTTTCATTAGTACTCTCCTCCTTGCACTCCTGAAATATTTATTCTCAGTTTTTCATTAGTACTAGTAGTAAAATCTCTTTCTTACTCTCTTCTTGAACCTGTGTATTCCAGTCTACAGATCCTACTTCTTGGCAAAAAAGTAAACATTTTCTTCCTCTTTCTTTTGAGTAACGTGCCACATGGTGTGCAGGTGATACTGGTAACATTTGGAGACACACACCAGCAGAAAAACCCACAACAGAAAATACTTAACCTTGTGAACTACAAGAGGTAATAAGAAATCCACAACCAAGAATCATCAAGTGAGAAGGTACTACTACTAATTTTCTTGATTGGATTGACCAGTTGAGAGACAATAAGGAGATATTAGTTTAGAGAAGAGGAGAGTGTTAAACTGAGGTAGAGATGCAACTTACTGCTGAGTGAGTGAAAGAAAAGAATATGAGTAGGGACACCGTACAAAGATAAAAGTTTGTACAATATTTTATGTCCTGCATCCTCTCAAATCATCCCCACTGATATCATACTAGTGGTGGTGGTGTGTTGGCTTTCTGCTTGTTGTGCTTAAGTGTGTTAGTGATTGATCTCATGACACAGGGAGTGATGTACACTTGGTTCACTCACTTCATCAACCAAAAATAGTTTTGAACTATTGATGGGTTGTCAATGATTGAACCTGTTGGTTAGAACCAGTTCTCTGGAAGGAATAATGTCTCTAGTTGTTAGTCCAAGGGACAGATATGTATTCATTTTGATCTCAGATGCAAGAGGCTGAAAATCTGGTCCAAACTCTTTTACTAGTAGTAGTAGTGGTAGTAGTAGTAGTAGTAGTAGTAGTAGTAGTAGTAGTAGTAGTAGTAGTAGTAGTAGTAGTAGTAGTGGTAGTAGTAGTAGTAGTAGTAGTAGTAGTAGTAGTAGTAGTAGTGCTTCCTTCTTCCCAACATATTGTATAGGGTTGGCCAGCAGATCTAGTACAATACAGCCATAGATTACAGGCTATCTTTTTTGTGTAATGACAACTTTGATAAAAAAGCAAAATATATCGTATTGTTGGCGGAGTAATTCCAGCCGACCCAGTCGTACATTAGCAATGTTGAATATTTGTACATGTATATCGATAAATATTTGTCGGATGGCTTATTCCCCCACTGCATTGGAAAGCTCTTTGAATTCTCTATTTAACCATGTGCTTTTCATACTTAAGCGTCCATTGGGGGAAAAGTTATGGCTGTTCAAGTGAGTTGAACCTCTTTTAATGCCCTACGTGTTTTTTGTACTGTGCGTCAATTTTGGGCTATCTAATTACTGTGTAATGACTTGTGGGATTAAAAATTTCACTTGTACTAGGCCTACTACAGTATGCACGTGTGAGCGAAACTATTTTGCACGTGCAAGCAGGATTATTTTGGTTGCATGACTAATGGGATTAAAAAAATTGAGTACGTACTGCGCGTGCATTTTGTATGTATTTAGTTTTTTTAGTCAAAGTAGTCATTACAAGCAAAAAGATAGCCCAAAATTGACAACTGGGTCGCACGTCTTGCCGCCAACACTATGATACAAAATGC